CTGGGGCTTTCATCTGACCTCGCTTTCGCATCTTTCACGTGGTTGCTCGGAGGGTTGCCAAACCGCCAAGCGAAACTCACAGAGTTTCAACACGCTGAGCCTATGGCACGTGACCAGAAGCTTGAGGCCTGACAAAATCAAGCGGATTGCAACGCAGGACGCTGATGTCTCGCCTTGAAGTACCCAGGCGCAGCTCCAAGAGTTTCAGCATGTGCGAGTGCCATCGCACGTCAGCACGAGATGCCTGCCTTGGCGCGCAGAGGGCTCAAAACTTGGCAAACTGAACGCAAGGAAGACCCTAAGTCAACACCCAAATACGGTACGCGTCTCAGTCAAGATGCATTCTTTGCTGCCGCAACGCCTGGTAGGTATGTCTGAGTCTGCGTGTCTGCGCTTGCGGAACTTCCGGCATTTCCGGCCTTTCGCCGCCTTCTGCTGGACTTGCGCTTGCGGTGCTTGTGCGAGTCATTCCTTGGTTCTGACAGGTTGAGTTAGCCAGCGTCCAAAAAGTGCGAACGCGGAACACGCAACTAACTTCAACGAGCGCAATCGAAAGTCTCATTCATCAGGTCAATGAAGTAGGCCACGTTCCGGAAGTGAACGTTCCTTACAGTTCACTCTGTGACGACTGGATGCAGGGCAGGGACCCTGGTCCGCGCGCAGTGAATTACCTTGTTGAATCTTGTTGCCCTAGAGGCGTCTCGTGTCAGTCCAGGCACTCATCCCCATCTGGAGAGGCGTTCGACCGATCTGTTCTCCTGTCTGGAGCAACAACGCAACAAAGCATGAATATCATACATGAAAACACTCTGACTGGGATGAGCCTGGAGGTCGAGGGATATGAGTCCTGAGCAGTCAGAGATCGGCTTGCAGAGAGCTACACAAGCTGCCTCGCTCCCCGATGAGCTTCCTGAGATCAAACGCAGCTCATCTGTCGCCAATTGACCGAGGCGTGCCTTCCTCAGACCGCCGGCGGCTTTGGCTTCTCGGGCCCATGGTTCGAGCCTTTCCAGTCGCAAGATGGCCAGGCGCCCGCGAGCGCCGTTCTCTCTGATCAACGCCTTCATCCGGCGCGAGGGGCGGAAGGCCCCAAAGCTGGCCAAGGCCGGCGCCTCAACGCCGCGCTCGCCAAATCGATCTTCCGTGTAACCACGTGCCTCGGTCTGCTCCACATGGGCTGATGCGTCCACGATCATCGATTCTCTGTCGTCATAAGGTCCTTGAGGCGCTGGGAAAACAAGCATGGTATGGTACGACACACATGCATTCACATGCATAGTTGAGGTGTGCAGGAAACGCTTTCATGCACTGCCCGTGCGTCGGGCAAAAAAGGCCAGCTGGGACTCCGACTTTCTCCGAGCCACTTTGCGGCAACTTCAGCTACTTTTTCATCTTGGACCCCCTCATTCAGAGCTGTGGTGAGTCCTGAAACGACTCATACTCTTGAGCCCTCTGCGACAGTCTCCAGCCTTGTAATGGCTTCGATACTGCCCTCTCTGGTGAGGCGCCTATCAGGCCCTTGCGCCCGGGGCGATTGGGGCTCTCATCTTCGGCCAGCATCATGATGGATCTCCGATGGACAACCTGGCTGGATGTTACAGACCTTGATGAACTGCCAAAGCTGCAAACCTCATCCTCTTCCTCTTCTTCGCTGCTGTAGTTCTGCAAAAAACGTCCTCACGTGTCAAGGCTACAAGGTAACGTGTGTCTTTGCCAACGGCAGCAACAACGACAGATCTGCTCCGATCAATGCCAATGCAAAAAGAATGTATGCTGAGCTTGCAACGTCTCATTGCGCTGTGGTGCAGCGACATCACTTTCATCCGTGCGATCTGTGCCAACGAGTTCAAAGCAGGCCAACAGAAATGGACACATGACTGAAAGCGCAAGGCCTCCCGGTGGGCATCCGAGTTCCTGGCCTGACGTTGTGAGGCTTGGAAGATGCAAGAGTGAGCTACCCGGCCTTTCCAAGAGCATTCTCAAAGTTGTCAAGGACCTGTCACACATTCAAACGTCCTCTGAGCGCACGTGCCTCCGAGCGCCTGCTTGCTTCTGCTTTTGGCTTGGCTGCGGCCGCGGGATCCTTTGCAAGTCACTGGCTGCCAGTTGCGTCAGTCAATGGAATTTACTCAGCCCAGAAGCTGATAAAACCTTCAGATTGCGCCGGCGAAGTCGTCTTGGCACGGAACAACCGCCGCAAAGCCTCCTGCAAAATGGGCGTGAACATGTAAGCACGGAAGGAAGGGGCGCAGGGACCTCAATACCTTCACCAGTGCTTTAGACCTTTGGCATGCTCCTTCTTGGGGAGGGGGGGGCGCCGCGTCTCCAGTCCCTCCATCGCCAGCAGTTTCGCCTGGCCAGGTCTGCGAACCTTCGCAAAGCCTCACACACGGCACGCCACCTTGGTGGCTGCATATCTGCTCCTGGCCGTGCCGGATGCCAGGCGCTGCGTCCAGGCTTCTGCCTCACGCCCCCGCGGCCGTGCGCCCACTTCGTCGGCGCCAGACTTGGCACAGCGCCTCGACTTTGCGCCTCTCCGCCATCTCCCGGAATGCCGCGTCGGCCTCGCTTCATCCAAGCAACCGAAAAAAAAGAAACAACAAAAACGGCGCTAGGTTCCGTTTTTTGACTGCCCCAAGGTAATTAAACTTAAAACCATGGGTTTTCCTTTTGAAATCGAGCACCCCTGAATTCAAGTCCACTTTGCGGTTGTCAAAAAATGGAATTTGATCGGCGCAATGCCTGGAAGATCTGCTTGGACTTCTGCCCCGCAGACCTCAGCTGAATGCGACGCCGATCGACTCCGAGTCTGAGGCTTTGAGCCTGTGGCGTAACATTCATGTGCTGCGCTCGCAGCAAATTTGCGCCCAATAGGTCATCAGCAGCCACCTGCCAAAAGCCCTGGTCGCGCAGTTACCACATGCACTTAGACAGACAAACACACAGAAACACAGAGACAGAAACGCAGAAACACAGAGACACAGAGACACAGAGGCACAGAGACACAGAGACACAGAGATACAGAGACACAGAGACACAAAGACGCAGACACACAGCCACGCACACACACACACACACACCCGTTCCCCACACCAACACTGCAGCGCCTGTCTTTTCATCGACATCTTGGCCTGAGTGCGGCCCTCTCCGAGACATGCTGATGCCCAATTTGGCACCCGGCTGCTGTGCGGAGGAGTCGCACCGTCTCCAGGTGCACAGGCGCGGCCTTGAAACACAGCTTCTAACCTCTCGTTGCTTGCTTCTTATTCTATCGGCTGCCCCTTTTTGCCCTTTCCAGCACCACAGAAAAATGGCAAGATGTTGCTAAAGACACGCCCACAGGACCGAAAATAAAGGCTTCGACCTTGGGATTAGAGGGGCTGGCCGTGTGCCGGTGTCAATCACTCAAGGCGTTCCAAGTATACCTGCCCCAATGAAAAAAAAAAGCTCACCAAATTGAAACACGAGCGAGCAAACCGCTAAATTGACCAGCCGTCTCTGTTCGCTCCGAGTTCCGTTGAGCCCTCGGCCAGCGTTGAGCCTTTGGATCGTTTCCGGCTCTCCTGCCTGAGAGCCAAGGCCTGGCACGACACGATTCGACCGTTTTGGCGCCACTTTTCCGTGAGCAGGAACCCATGGCACTGCTGGCCATGAATCAAAATCCAAATCGTACCCCTAAAATGGGCGGTGCGCCTACCCCAAAATGGTATATCATTGGTTTTGACAACCACAGCCAACTGCAGGTCTCCGCTCCAGCCTTTTGTAGCCATTCTGCCGCGTTCACTCCCTCAGGCTTGCACACCGAGCGGCGACATGAAGCATCCAACTGACATACGCGACATGAAGCCCTTTGGTGACAAGGTGCGTGATGTGGCTGTGGGTGAAAAGTGGGTACCCGAAATGGAATGGTAAATGGAACCATGGACTAAAACCTGCGGTCCAATTCCTGGTGGTTTGATTTTGACCCATACCCATGCGCTATGATTGACTTTGCTCTTGCCTTGTGCTCTTCCTCTGCTGCTTCTTGCACGAGTTGCTGGAGCTCGCCTGTGACGATGCTCGAAGCAAAAACCGCAAGTGCCAAGTGAAAAGCGGCTTCCGCAATCTTTATCCCGGCCGCTAAGAGTAGATTCTAGTTTACAGGCCGCTTTGACTTTCAAAACGTTTGCTGCATCGAAGTATCAGAATCAGACAGCCTGATTTGGAAACATGTTCGTCCATGATTCCTGAGTGGCCAACAGCTGAAGTGCGCAGACGTTCAGATTCTAAGTGCTCCGTTCGCAAAGTAGAGGCCAATTTGAATCAAAGCACATTGCAACTCTGCTTAATGATGCTGCCTTGGTCACCGTCTGAGAAGGCACTCCGAGACTCGACAGAGGCACGGCTGAGCCGCGAGTTACCCCGGAGGGTGCGTCCTGCGGCACGCTTTTAAAGCGCAATCGCCAAATGAATCATCGCCGAATGCGCCATGGTCAAAATATGGCAAAATTCCTTCTGTTGGCCATGGTCATGGCTCCATTCAGAGGAACCCCTTAAAACAGTCGTCTACAATTCCTACTAAAGCGCCCGCTAAGACCATGGCTCAGGCTGTGCAACATCTATTGAAGTGCATTGCCTCAAGCTGCCAGGGCCTGGGGCAACCTGAGGATACTGACGCAACCCCTCCCAAGTTTGCAACCTCGGTCCTCGCGCGTCAAAGCCCTGGCAACACGTAGCGCGTGCTTCAGGTTTCACAAGTACCACAGACCATCTTCAACTTGCTCCCCGCGAGAAAGGAGTCACTGAGCTTTGGGCTCCGCGGTGTTTCTTTGATTCTTTTTTGGGGGGGCGCTCATGTCTTCCCCGAGCTAACAGACTGCCAATCAGATCTCTACAGCCTCAGGAAGCAGAGAAGCTGTGCTCGGGCGTCGGCGCTCACGATCTGGCCCGATAGGCCGATAGGCGAGTTGCCAGACTCGATGGGCCGCATCTCTGAACCAAGACATGCCCCACCCGTGCCATCATCTGAGAGGTCCTCCACAAAGGAGCGGATGGATACACGGCGCTTAGATCGCTTCCTCAGACATCCGCATAAGACACGGGTACGAGTCAAAATTGAACCACCAGGGGACCACGGGTGTTCGTCTTTGTTTCCGTTTACCAGGGTTCCATTTATTTTTGACCCACAGCCACACGGGCAGCCGACCGTCATGCTTCCTAGACTCTTCTGGCCCGGCACTTCACGGCGCTTGCCATAGGTATAGTACTGCGCTGAAGGCCGCAAGCGATTCAAGCCCTGGCGGGGTTGATAGCGCTCCCCCTCTCTCTCTCACGATTTGGCACGATTGCTCAAAAAACCGGTACCAAAATGGCCACCTTGGTAAATGGAACCAAACACTCAAACCCGCGTAGCTCAATTTTGAGCCACACATTTGCTTCCAGTCTCCTTCTGGGATGCTCATTCCGTGATTTCCCTGGATTGCGACGGGTTTGGGCCGGGGGTTTTATGGTTCAGGGAATAAGCTGGGTGGCTTGGGCTTGCTTGAGGCTGGTTCAGGGTGAAGGGGTTTGTTTGGCGTTGGATGACGGGTCTAAAAGAATAAGCTCGGTTTAGGGGTGGTTGCGGATTGAGCTGGATTTGCTCAAAGGCTAATCTGGATGCGATTCAAGATGGGTTTGGGATGGGCTTTGCATGGAATTAGCACGTGTTTAGGTGTTTTTGGGGTTGGGCTCGGATAGATTTCGGATCTGGGGGTGACAACAGGTCGTTAAATGTAGAGCTGGTTCAGGGTGGTCTCAGGGTTCTTTAGGGTTCAAGATGGGCTGGCTTAGGCTTGGATTGGTTGATCTGGGTTTTCTTGTCTGCTGCCACGCAAAAGAAGGTGAAGGGAAAGGAGCTGCCTCCAGGTAGGACTGTGACTTCGGGGCGTTGCCCATCACCTTCACGATGTGATCCGCCAAGCTCCCTGGCGACTGATCGATCCATTCCGACGCCCAGGACAATGTGGCTGTGGGTCAAAAATAGGGTAACCCCAAAATGGAACGGTGGCAAATGGAAACATGGACGATTCAAGCTGCGGTCCAATTCCTGGTGCTTTAAGTTTGACCCATAGGCCCATACCCATGTCTCAGGACGCTCCAAGGCGCGTCGGCCTCGGTCGTGGGGGTCCAGGTCCTACCGAAAAAAAAAGCGCGGCGCGGTCGAGGAAACTTCGTCCCCCAAAACATGCTCACGAGGGTTGGATTTGGCATGCTACTGGTACGTTGGGTCTCATGTCCTCTGAGACACGGGAGTTGGAGTCATCTGAAGTTTGGCTGCTCCTGGAAAGGCTGACCCGCGCAGCAGCCAGGCATGGCTAGTTTCCCTATAGAACTCCCTAAATGTAAAGTCATGTTTACGGTTAATGAAAGTCAAAACGAAGTCTGTTGTCCAACAAGTCCACCCAAAAGCATCTTTCGGGTTGGGCACGACCCCCACTTGCTTCTACTTATATACCCGAACCAGTGGCGTCGTCTTGGCGCAAATTCGAACTTCCTACAGCTCCTTCCATTCTGCAGTCCATGATTTGATTGCCCATGAAATTCCTTAAACCCATGGTTGATCTTCAAAAACAAGACATGGCTTTGGTTTACATCTCTTTGGGACCACAAAATGGAGCAGGCGCCTGCGGCTTGAATAACTCTGCCGCCGACCCTGCAGTACCACATCCTCCATGTCTTCTCCTGGCCAGCTATGTTCATTGCTGGAAGGAACACGCTGTCTGAAAAAGGTTGTTGGAGGCAGGAGGGCAGGGCCCTCTGCCCAACAAAACGCACCCAAACCTTTGCCGCCCCCTCCTCGAGCAGCGCCGAAACTTGCCAGGGGCTTCCGCTGGAGCGTGCCCGGAAGCTCTTCGCGGGGCTCACGGGGATGTTCGCGCTCGTCTGGGGCTCGCCGCCGGACGCGGGGACGCTCCTTGGAATAGGTCTTGCCGACCACTTGGTTCCTTTTGCCCGGCACCAGTCTCACCGACTCTTCTCCTGGCCAGCAACTGCCAGAATGGGAAAAGACCCCCAAAAGGGCAGTGGCAGGCAACGGCAACTTTTTGAACGTGTCCCTGATTTTAATGTATTGGAATGGCTGTGAATGAATGCATCTTGTCATCTTGGCTGGGCATGCTGGGCCTACCTGGTTGCTTGCTCTCTGGTTGTTGGCCCGCCGTGCCACGCTCGCCGTGTGTGTTGTTCTCTTCCTCAGACTCCTCGGATAGGCCAACTGCACTCAGGTGCATCCTTGAATTAAGAGTACTGAAACCTATTGTAGAATGTTCATCCAATAACAAAATACTGCGGTGCATCGCATTCTCCGATTCCTTTTGTTCAAATGGACTCAACTTGGGCAAGCCACAACGTGCAGCCGTGCTGCGCTGGTTTCGCTGGTGGCCTCGCTTTCCGGGTCCTCTTCCGTGCCAAGCAACGCACGCCTAGGGCCACGGAAGCCGAACGAATGGGCCTCTCTCTTTTTTTTGTCTTTTCCCCAACAGCTGAAAGCTTTGGGGTCTCAGCCCAGAAGGCTCCGGGCTGGTCCGGGGCGGCCCTGAGGTAAGGCTCCACCAGGGTTCCACGAGGGTTCCGCGAGGTTCTGCGAGGGCTGCGGGGTGGTGCAAGCACCAAAAAAAGCACCGCATGCTGTTGGGGATCGCACCTGAGCTTATATGTTTTTCTCCTTCGCGGGTACCCCTTGGCAGTTTCAAAGGAAACCACAAGGAAAACCACCATTTTTGGGGGCCCCGCTAAAGACGCGGAGACGAACCAGTTTTGGACGTCCCCTAGCTTCGGACGCGACGATCTTGTGAACTCTGAGCAATCAAATGCCAGATATTTTCAATCAGTCTCTTGGCCAAAGCACCCAATCAAGATGACCCACAACCACCCCACAGGAACCATAGAGCGGTCAGCTGTTGGTGAAAAGCATCCAAGGTGCTCCAGCTTTGATTCCCAGTTGCGCCCGAATTCTTTCCTGCGCAGAAAGAACTCGAACACATGTCCCACTGCATCTACGTTGGCCCTAGTCGCTCTTGGTTGAGATTTAGCTGAACTGAGGTGCGGTCAGCCACGTTGGAAAAAACACAGTGCAAACTGAACAAAGCTGGACCTCAAACGTGAATTCACAACTATGTGCTTGAACATCTGCAACAGCGTTCCCACGCAAATCTTCGGTTCCCTCACAAGGCAATTGTTTCAGGACAAGAACTGCACGCCTTGCCGTTCCTGTGCTCTCAGGAACGCCAAACACCGGAACATGGTCTCCAAACTTGATTGATTGCTGTAGCGGCTTCATTGAACATATGGCTGTGCGTCAAACATGGGTACCCAAAATAGAAGCCTGGTAAATAAGGGCTGTTCTCTGCGGTCCCCTGGTGGTTTAATTTTGACCCACACCCATATCTCAAAAGGGTCCAACTCGTGACATCCCGCCTCAAGTGCTTCTTCTCTTCATCCAGCTGGTCCTTGCGTTGGTCGATGCGAGTGCCCCAGAAATCCAGCTGCTGGCCTCAAATCGTCAGGGCCAGCTCGTCAATCCCAGCAAAGCGTTTTTGTTCTTCTTTTTTCTGCGAGTTCCAGGGAAACCCAAGGTACTCTGAGTCGAGTCCGTGCAAATGTTGTGAAGGAATTGGGCGCATGCCTTCATGGCATAGGATCAAATCCGTTGGTGAGCAAATGGGCGCCAAAGCAAGCTCCTTGCACAGAAATTGCAAATCCTGAAATTCCCCCTGAAAGACATTTGAAGGTAAACCCACACGCCAAACGCCAAAGAAAGACTCGCATTCTCCCTGTTCAGCCGTGGCACTGAGGCGCCGGTTCCGCTCGTGGGCGGCCTTCAAATCCTGAAACGAGCAAGAAGGACAGTTCACGGGTTCATAGTTGAGAGGTTCATAGTTGAGACCTTGGACACTTTCCCCGAGTTATTTCAATAGATGTATCCTCGCATCACGCGGTATCACGTCCAACTTTGGGATGTTCCCACTTTTTGGCTATGTTGCTTGCACTCGTTGGATCTGACCTGCATCCCCCTTGGCATGGCACCCTCGGATTTCTCATGAAGACGTGAAGGCCGCCACGTCTGGGTCCAAAGCGACGGTCAACTCCACGCCTGTTGGAGCCGCTTGCCGCGCTCTTCGTCGGTTTCCGGCTCGCCATTCTGCAAATGCAAGTCCTTGATCAGCCCAGCCTGGCGGAGTGCTGGCGCTTCCGCCGACTCTGCTAGACCCAAACCAAGCCCAAGGCGTAGTCATGGTTGAGGGAGTGTAGGGAGGGAGGGGAAGGAGCGCATCTGCAGATTTTGACTCGACAAATCTAACATCGAATGTCACTCACCCTGGAGTGTGTTTGGCCACTCTCAACAAACGGCGAACCTTTTCTCGCCCTTCTTACTTTCACTGGCTGTTCGGCTAGCCTGAACAAACAACGAACCTGGGCTACCTGGCCCTCTCTACTGTCAAAGAACCGCTAGCCTATATATTCAATAACGACTGATCCTAGCTAACTCTTCGGCGAACCTTGCGTTTTGGCTGACCTTAATTTGCTTGTCGGCTGACCTTAAGCAACTCTTCGGCTTAACTTGTCTAGCTTTCCCAAAAGCTAACTTTTCAGAAGACTGCTGCTCTAAAGCTATGCAAAGACTGCAAACAAAAATGACAGCAAGACTTCAGGGTACTGCGTGAACACTACGGGCTTACCCTGAGTTTTCCTACAGGAAGACTACATCAAGGCTACGAGACAAGGCCACCCGAACGGACCGTCAGCTGTTGCGACAAACGTCAGCTTGGTTGGACACATGTGCGGTGGTAGTATAAGATGCAAGACTACCGCACAGTGTGAAGGCTACTGAATGCTCGGTGGAGCGGTGCAGGCAGGCACCCTCCGCCTCGACTCCTGCCAATCATCCCGTAGCATTCGAATGTCTTCTTGAGGGTACCTGCTTTTTGTGGATTTAAAGGGAAACCCAAAGAGGAAAACCACCATTTGCGTGGGTCCCCTGAAAACAAAAAGAAACACCCTTTCACGGTTGGAAACTAGAATGATTCTCGGTGCCTTCGAAGAAGCAAGCAAGAAACAAGGCGATACCCAGGCATTGATGAACCCCATGCCTGTTCCAAAAGCTTCTGCAACAGCTTGAACTTCACGTTCCGCATTTGAAGCATCCTGAGTCAAGTGTGGGGACCTAGTCAGACAGCCCAGCATCAATGGCGTCCAGCTGTGCATTTGACTCAATCGCAATCCAATGCCTACGCAACCTTTGCTTCGACACTTGCCCTTTCACCAAGGCGCCGTTTCTTCTTGCGGCCCTCGGCCTTGATGTAGGACATCATGGTGTGGTCAGCATCCTAGAGATGCCACGAGAGCCAACTGCGGCTTTGCTTTTCGACCCTGTGGTTCTAATGTTTGGAGCAGGGCTGTGGGAAATGACCACTTCTGTGATACAACAGAAAGGGCTTCCCACAGACCAACCCCCATATAACGGCGGAGATTCCCTTGTATCTCAGAAGTGGGGATAAACCCCCTTGATCCCACAACCCTGGCTTGGAGGGTTCCTCATCTCCGACCAGAGCGAGGGGAAGGCAACCTTTGATATCCTTCGATGCCACCATCTGCGAGGCTCCTGGCTGTCGTCCAAAAGCCCAGAGTGGCGCCGGGGCGAGTGAGCGTCGGAGGTGCCAGCGCCTCAGCCAGGTGCCAGTGCAAATGACAGCCTCAAATGCAAAGCGACTGAGGAGCCAAGACTTCACCATTCCTGTCGCACCCCAAGAAGCAGTACGAACCAACACGTGTTACACTGACTCAATGACCGAACGTCAGCCTCCAATTCTCACTATGTCTGGTTTTCCGTTTTGAGCTTCGTACTGGACCCGCTGACGATCCGCTGGAAGTGGCTGGAACTCTGCGGCGACGGCTCCAACTCGGGCAGCTCTTCGGGCTCTTTGGGCTCCACCTCTTTCGCCTCGGCCTCTTTGGCCTCTTTGGCCTGTACGTCCCACGAGGCAGCAGGGCAGCAGGGCAGCAGGGCAGCAGGGCAGCAGGGCAGCAACACCATGACTCGCCTTGCGGAGAGCCTCCATCAGCTGTTCTATCTCCTGACGCAGGCAATCAGGACTTGAGCTTGACACACGCCAACCTTGGAACTCAATCGAACCGCCTTCATTGAAGCGCTTTGATTGGCCAAAGTCCGAGGTACGCAGTTGAAGAGACCATCAAGCTGTCACAAACTCCTTATCTGCACTCTCCACGTCGGCTTGAACCTGTTCAGCACGACTCAGCATGCTATGCAACACATGCTAGCAGCGCTCAAGTCTTCCTGTTTGACATGCTTCTGACCCGAGGTTTCGAAGTGGGTCACAAGGACCGCAGCTTTTAGTGCTTGTTTCTATTTGCCATGGCAACCCATTTCGGGGTTTCCCTATTTTGACCCACCCCCAACTGACTGCTGGTGCGATAGGCAGGGAATGAGAAATGGAACTGGTGGCTTCCTTTCAGGGATTCCAGTTTATTCCATTTCTCATTCCCTGCCTGTCGCATCCCCCCAAACATATGGCTGTGGTTGTCAAAACCGTTTTGGGATCCCATTTTGGGGTAGGTGAATTCACCACCCATTTTAGAACCTATTTTAGTGGGGATTGGGATGTTCACTGGGGTACGGGCTTTTGACCCATGGCCATATGAGTCACAATCAAAATCCGGTATTGAAATGGTCGACCCAGAACCATGTAAAGAATTAAGATTGTCCCTTGCTAACCTTCATCTACCCGGGTTTTGAGATTGTGGCTCATATATGAATTGACCAAACACGTCTTCGACCGACTCCGAATCTGAGCTGCACGCCTGAAGGATCTGCTCTGCTTGCGCAGCCTGGGCCTGCAACCTGGCATTGGCTCGGGGGAATTCTCCGTTTCTCCGGGGAATTCGGCCAGAAACCCACTAGATGCCGATGGGGTTTCTGAAATTCCTGGGTCGGTGGTTTTCAGCAGGAAGTGTCGTCATTCAACCTTAGGTTCCAATATTGACGAATGCGCAGGACGCCTGAAAAGCCCACAAACTGTTCACTTCAACGGAGCCAAAGACCGCCAAGCAACCACCACGCCCCGCTTCCCCAGCGCTCCCGTTCTTCACTCGCGCTTGACCCCAGGCCTTGCTTGCTCCGCCCTTGCCTCCGCGTTCGGAGCCTGCGAGCAGTTTGTGCCCAAAGCCGCACGCAGATATCACACCCGAGGAAACCTGCAATAGCCTGTCCCAGGCAACAAACACAACAGCATACTCTTGTCGACATCAAGAGGAAAGTGGAAGCCGTATGCTCATCACCCAAGCAAGCAACCCAACATGTTCGAATTAGTCAGTTTGCATCCTTACAGTGCTTACTGGCCGGCTTCATGACTCGGCGCGAAGTCAAGGTTAGGGAGAGCCCAAAAGCGGAGCTGACCTCTGGTTTGTTCAAAAGCCTCAAGGTTTTCCATGGGGCCTCACGTTAACATTTGGGCAGAACGCCAAAACCCTTTTGTGCCAAGTTGGAATATCGCTACATCCGCCGCTTTAAATGGCCGACTTCGTTTTCTAGAGTTTTGTCATGCATGCCATGTGTGACATCAACAAGCTCATCTTCTCACAGGCTAGTGTCACTAGAGGCCTTCTTGTCCACTCAAACAACTCCGGTTCCTTCTCATCCATCGTGATTCAATGGCCCATCTCAACAAACCACATTTTCGTAAAGAAAGGCTTTGTGTTTAGGCTTACACTGGCCTTCGTCTCCAGACCTGCCGGCATGCTGCAAAAGCCGACAAGGAGCCTTTTTGTTTATGGTCGCCTTCATGTTGCCTTCGTTTTCTCACACTCTTGCACTCCAATGAACTCCCCTGTACAAACCTTTGCCATGCCTCGCCAGCCGTCGCCATGCCTGGTGGATGTTGCTCACCCGCTCTCGCACACATGGGAACGTGGTAAACACATGTATGTCATGTAAATCCATTCGTAAAACAAATAAGGTATGTCTCGAAGTGGACGCCGAAAAAGGCTGACGTACATTGGCTGCCCACCCAAAACGAGAATCAAGGAGCAAGGAGGGAGAAACCACTTGCCTGCATCTGCATCGCCGGAGCGAGCGGAGTCCTCTTGGCTGCTGTGAGCTCTCACCTCAGCATGGAAAAAGCTCACTCCCTTCCACTGGAAAGCTCGCACATCTCGCACCTCGTCCGCGTGGCCGCTCTCTCCCTGAGCCGAGACTTTTGCAGCTTAGCACGTAGCATTGAGTGGCGCACTGCGATGGAATTTGTCTGCGTGACGCCGAGCTGTGCCTGGCTTTGCTCGGGCCCGTGCGCGCCTCACGAATTGCAACGCCTAGCGCTCCAGGCCTCCGGTTCTCGGATCCCACCAGTCTCAAGCTTCGCCTGCGACACAAGAAGCACCGCCAAACATAGCATGGATATCACCTGGACTCATCGAATATTAAAACATCCGTGAGAGTGTGAGTTCTGTGAACGCGAATGAGGAATACACATTCTATTTCTAGGTCAAGCGAATGCAGCTATGCTTCTTACCTTAAATCCAACCACAATACGTCTTTTGCGGCACACATGCAGCCCACTCTCGCGGAACAGCTTCAAATCAAATTGCCATGAAACTGAACAGAAGTCCACATCAACGAACCCCATTAAAGTGTCAGCTGCTTAACCTACACACACTTAGACTCCAGATGGAGGGTTCTAATCTTTCGAGTACAACTGGTAAGTCTCGGCTTGGATAAGGTTCTGCATGAATAAGTTTCGGCTCGCAATGCACTCGGTTTCCCTCTAGTGTCGAAAACGTTACAAGGTTCAACATGGGCCAAAAAGACTTTGCGCAACCATTGCAGGTACACAGCTGGACGTCTCCAACTGCTTCACCAGGGTCACGAGAGTGTCTTCGTTGGTGGCAGACTCTGAGCCCTGCTGCCACCCCCTGCAGTGGGAAAAAGTTATTGTATGGTGGCAGGGTTTTCTGCCACTCCGCACACACACGCCCCTCAGTGAGGGGCGAAAATCTTTTGTTCCAGCCGGAAGATCACGCAATTGGCTCATCAATTCTAACGTCTACCAAAATATCCACTGCGTCGGGGAGAGCGCGAAACTGCACGCTCCGCACGAGGCCGCTCAGAAGACGGGGACGAGAGATCTCCAAGATGAGCAAGACGTGTGCCGCCATAGAAGACAGGCGGAAGCTGCAAAGCTGTCGGGCAATCACTGTCAGAAATGGGAGGGGCATAGGTGAACATCTCTTCGACCCGGATGATGTCCGGATGTTGTACATCAGCAAGTGATGGATCAGGGTCATGATGGGTGGAGAAGGACTCCAAGCGAGACAGAATCCGTTGATAACCTTGATGTTGCCAGTCACGAATTGTCCATGCTTGACTGGGTTCACCAGTTCCGTCAACATGCTCCGTTACCCGTTTCCACTCCCTAAACGAGTTCTCAGGTAGGGCGGGTACTGCCTCATCTGGGTGCCACAGTTGAAGTTGACCCGGAGTGTAGATCCGCACCCACTCCTGGTCCTGCCAGACGGAGTGTTCGAGCCAAGGGTGCTGCTCGTCAGTTCTGGCCGACATTTGAGTCACATCATCTGTGTCCATGCTGAAGTAAAGGACAGGGCGTACCGCAGTCCAGCTGGCGAGGAAACAGTCACAATGCACAACCATGCACAACCGGCCAACACACAAGTAAGCAACCCAACACACAAGTAAGCAAGAGCAAAGGTGACACTCTTTCATGTCATGATCAAGATGCATCGGTTTATACGTCACCTAGCTCGAAGATGGGCTGCGCCTTGTTGGTAGAGCTGCCTGATTGACCCGCAGGTGTATTTAGATCAGCGACCCCAATAGATTCGGGTGGTGCAACTCCACGAGATACATGTGCTGGATGGTGGGACGCTTGACGCGCGCGTTCTGATCGCACTCAACATCTGCGGTGTCATACTCAGAGCCGAGGATTGCGTGGCCACGCTATGTTGATGAGGAAACATCGAATTGAAGTCTTGAACAGCTTCAGGACAGCAACACGCCAGTAGCCCTCAGTGGTCCAGTCCCTCTTGTACCAAGTGCGCCTGGTGGGCTGGTCTTCGTCATGAGCCAGGCTTTGGGCATAGAACTCCTTCCACTCCCTGTATGTGTGGCGCGGAGGCGGATCATCGCGTTCATCTTGTGGTGTCCATGATCCCGGATGAAAAATCTTGACCCATTGAGCGTCCGGTTGTTGAGGATCAGGGCACCACTCCAACCACGACATGACAACTCAAGCACCTAACTGCACAACCGAGAAGAACACGGCTGCAGGCAACGAACCCTTCATGCCATGTGTCACCAAACATGCCAGTCAACCGCAAACAATCAATCCAGCACTCGCAGCGCACGCAGCGCCGACCGCGGCGGTTTGTAGCCAGAAGCAACTCTGTCGCCCCAATCAAACTCAGGATCATAGGGAAGCGACGAAGATCGTTAACCATCAGAGACCGAGGATGTCGATGAAGAAGACAATCCAGCGTACATGAGGCCAGGCGATCCCGAAGAGAAAACGGGCCGCGCTATACTCTGATCTGGATTGCCGAGTCGTTGGTATCCTCTGCTCCGCCAGTCCCGATATCGCCAAGTATAAGAGGACGCATAGGAGACCGGCTGGATGAAGGCATCCAGAGTGGTGCCTCCCGTGCTGTCACAAGGCCAATACACTTCAAAGTGGTAGAACCTGCGCCATTCCCGATAGGTGGATGTGTCAGACGGAGCCGGTCCCAAGGTGGAGTCCGCGACAGATTGCCACGGACCTGGTTTGCAAACCCGAATCCACTCAACATGCGCATTTCCAGCAGCATTCACTATATCGTACTCGCAGTAGTGCGGAATGGGCCACCTCTCAGTGATCGTCGAATTGAACATGATAACCGAACCAATGGCGGTGAGACAACGCAAGGCTCATGAAACCGAGAAGTCTGCGAGATCAAACGCGGGCCGCCATGCTAACCACGGCATGGTGATATTCAAAGGCGCACACGGCTGCACGGAAAAAAACATGAATAAAGGCACTCAATCAAAAGGCCGCTGGCAGAGCACTCACGATGCAAGACTCAACAAGCGCAAGGTTTTACACAACATTCAGTCAAAGCATCAATCAGACTCGTTCCAATCGAAATTAGGGTCATAGCCCGGCGGGGGAGAAGGGTCACGCCACGCGCCATCAGGAACTGAAGACGCCGATGAGGACGACACTCCACCAGGCACGAAATCTGTCGATCCAATGTATGGACGTGGGCCACCCAGGCGTTGATAACCTCGCGTGTGCCAATCACGGAATTCCCACACGTAATAGGAGGCGTAGGAGATAGGCATGACATTCGGATCCGCAGCGGGGTAAGTACACGTCAAAGTGGTATACCCTGCGCCACTCCCGATACGTGGAGGTGCGGTCCGGGGTTGGGCCCAAGGTGGATGCAGCCGCAGGCTGCCACGTGCCCGGTGTGTAAACCCGAATCCATTCCAGGCCTCTCTCAATGTGGTACTCAAGTAGCGCGGCAACATGACAACCGAATGAGTCGCCAAATTACTATTACAAGGGCAAGCGAAGCCAAGGGATCTGCGGTGTAACAATCATGCCATGACCGACATGCCTAACCAGCAAGCAATGCAACGCATAACAACTTTTCCAAACTGAAGACTGGACGAATCAACAAAGTCTGTGGTGTACTGCGGCAATGATTCACCGCCGCTGATGACGCGCGCATCTGCAATGGAAATGTCCTGGTTGACGTCGCACACAGCGGGAAAGACATTTCCGTCCATGATGTAGGAAGGCATGGCAGTAATGCTTGCATCTTGTAGTTCTGGACCGTGTTGCACGAGTAGCCCTTTTCGAAGTGAACACAGCGAAGGGCCGCCGAGAATAACGCTCAGCAGAGGTTGACGTTGTTCGAGTGCGTTTCGGGGAACGCGTGAGACTGCGGAGACCGTCAGCACGGGATTGGTCAGCTCTGCAAACTGAGCGTCGTGTGCGCTCAGAGACCATAGTAGCCGGGCATGACTGTCCTCGGGGAGAAGGGGTAGAGGAAGTTCGCAATGAGGGCATGAACTGTGGATGAAGAGTCATCGGTGGCGGTGGTGGTGGTGGAGGAGGAGGAGGAAGTAGTAGCAATTGTGGTGGAGGTGGAGGTGGTGCCGTCAATCGAAATGGTCTGTCGAGCAATGTGCCGGCCGGGTAGTTTGGTCCGTGATACTGTAACCACGTCGGCTGCGCTCCATGGGTCCAAGTTACGAATGTCTGCACATTTTGCTCCAGCATGATTTGAACACTCATGTCCGCAAGACAAGGCAAGACAACTACAAGGTCAACGCAATGCACCACCACTCGAAAGGAATTTTGACGGCTCCAATATTGCAAAGTCATCTAACCGCAAGCCTCAAGTCGCTGGTAGACCTTCCATGCCTGCTTGACTTCCTCGATGGGTTTCTGAAGGAAACGGGCGATAGTCTTGTAGGTGGGCCTGGAATCCTTGTCCTTTTTGCGTCTGACCATCTCATCCAGCTCACCCTGTGTCCATGCCGTGAATGGTTCGAGATATTCATTGCGGAGGGCAATAGTGAATTCCTGTAGAAGTTCACGAGGTCCATGGACCACCGTCGGCGATGGACGGAACGATGAAGCACCGGGATGTGGACGGACTGAACCGTCCGAATCCGAATCAGGCGTAGTAGACGAAGCGTGCCCCGGCGCACCATCGTTGCGTGCGGCATTGGGAGCGAGAGGTCTTGGCGCTGGTAACCAGTCCACCAGAGTCTCTGGACGTTGACCAGGGTTGCCTCCTGGAGCTTCACGACGTGCTTCACGAGGAGGTGATAGTGCAGGTATATACCAGGTAGAAGAAGCATCCACAGGCCGAGTTCTGGTGCGGGTGGGAGTGCGAGACCGATCTGACGAGATGCGCTCCGTGATGCTGCGTGGGCGCAGTCCATGTCTTGAATTACGTGGTGCTCTGGGAGGCATCCGGGGATCTGATTCCTGATTTCGATCTGCCGCCAGGGCAAAGTTCAGGGTGTCCAGGGCAGTGGCAACTTGGGAGGCGAGGACGTTGAGCACCGCCACCAGGTTATTCACGAACTCTGTAGACAGCCACATGGCAAGTGAAATCACAGCAAGGGCAACACAAGCAAGAAGGGCTGCGAATCTACACACACTTCGGCCAGCTGTTCTGGTGTCACTTGCAGCTTGCAGCATTTCGATACGCATGCGCAAAAACGGAGACTCTTTCGACCTCACTTGCCGGCCCCCATTGTGCACAAACACAAAAGAGCTCGTGAAAATCGTCAATACACCTGCACTCGAACTCACAACCAAGCACAGACACAGACACAGAGATATGCACACAA